CATATTGATAATTATCTTTTTTTTTTTTTTTTTTTTTGCGGTATGTGGGCCTCTCACTGTTGTGGCCTCTCCCGTTGCGGAGCACAGGCTCCGGACGCGCAGGCTCAGCAGCCATGGCTCACGGGCCCAGCCGCTCCGCGGCATGTGGGATCTTCCTGGACTGGGGCACGAACCCGCGTCCCCTGCATCGGCAGGCGGACTCTCAACCACTGCGCCACCAGGGAAGCCCATTGATAATTATCTTAAATGTGAAAGGATTAAATGCTCCAACCAAAATACACAGGCTTAAAAAAAAAAGACACAGGCTTGCTATAATGGATACAAAAACAAGACCCATATATATGCTGTCTACAAGAGACCCACTTCAGATGTAGGGACACACAGACTGAAAGTGAGAGGATGGAAAAAGATATTCCATGCAAATGGAAATCAAAAGAAAGCTTGAGTAGCAATATTCATATCAGATAAAATAGAGTTTAAAATAAAGAATGCTACAAGAGACAAGGAAGGACACTACGTAATGATCAAGGGATCAATCCAAGAAGAAGATATAACAATTACAAATATACATGCACCCAACATAGGAGCACCACAATACATAATGCTAACAGCTATAAAACAGGAAATCGACAGTAACATAATAATAGTGGGGGACTTTAACTCCTCACTTACACCAGTGGACAGATCACCCAAACAGAAAATTAATAAGGAAACACAAGCTTTAAATGACACAATAGACCAGATAGATTTAATTGATATTTATAGGACATTCCACCCAAAAACAGCAGACTACACTTTCTTCTCAAGTGCACATGGAACATTCTCCAGGATACATCATATCTTGGGTCACAAATCAAGCCTCAGTAAATTTAAGAAAATTGAAATCACATCAAGCATATTTTCAGACCACAACACTATGAGATTAGATGTCAATTAAAAGGAAAAAAAAACACAAACACATGGAGACTAAACAATACGTTACTAAATAACCAAGAGATCACTGAAGAAATCAAAGAGGAAATCAAAAAATACCTACAGACAAATGACAACGAAGACATGATGATCCAAAACCTATGGGATGCAGCAAAAGCAGTTCTAAGAGGGAAGAAGTTTATAGCAATACAAGCTTACCTCAAGAAACAAGAAAAATCTGAAATAAACAATCTAACATTACACCTAAAGGAACTAGAGGAAGAAGAACAAACAAAACCCAAAGTTAGCAGAAGGAAAGAAATCATAAAGATCAGAGCAGAAATAAATGAAATAGAAACAAAGAAAACAAGAGCAAAAATCAATAAAAAGAAATGCTGGCTCTTTGAGAAGATAAACAAAACCGATAAACCATTAGCCAGAATCATCAAGAAAAAGAGGGAGAGGACTCAAATCAGTAAAATTAGAAATGAAAAAGGAGAAGCTACAGGATTCCCTGGTGGCACAGTGGTTAAGAATCTGCCTGCCAATGAAAGGGACACGGGTTCAAGCTCTGGTCCGGGAAGATCCCACATGCCATGGAGCAACTAAGCCTGTGCGCCACAACTACTGAGCCTGTGCTCTAGAACCCGCGAGCCACAACTACTGAAGCCCACGCACTTAGAGCCCATGCTCCACAACAAGAGAAGCTACCACAACGAGAAGCCCCCACTCGCCACAACCAGAGAAAAGCCTGCACACGGCAATGAAGACCCGATGCAGTCAGAAACAATAAATTAATAAATTAATAAAATAAATAAATTTTAAAAAAAAGAAGTTACAACAGACACTGCAGAAATACGAAGCATCCTAAGAGACTACTACAAGCAACTCTATGCCAATAAAATGGACAACCTGGAAGAAATGGACAAGTTCTTAGAAAGGTATAACTTTCCAGACTGAACCACGAAGAAATAGAAAATATGAACAGACCAATCACAAGTACTGAAATTGGAACTGTGATTAAAGATCTTCCAACAAACAAAAGTCCAGGACCAGATGGCTTCACAGGTGAATTCTATCAAACATTTAGAGAAGAGCTAACACCCATCCTTCTCAAACTCTTCCAAACAATTGTAGAGGAAGGAACACTCCCAAACTCATTCTATGAGACCACCATCACCTTGATACCAAAACCAAAGATACTACAAAAAAAGAAAATTACAGACCAATATCACTGATGAATATAGATGCAAAAATCCTCAACAAAATACTAGCAAACAGAATCCAACAGCACATTAAAAGGATCATAACACCATGATAAAGTGGGATTTATCCCAGGGATGCAAGGATTCTTCAATATATGCAAATAAATCAATGTGATACACCATATTAACAAATTGAAGGATAAAACCCGTATGATCATCTAAATAGATGCAGAAAAAGCTTTTGACAGAATTCAACACCCATTTATGATAAAAACTCTCCAGAAACTGAGCAAAGAGGGAACCTACCTCAACATAATAAAGGCCATATACGACAAACCCACGGCAAACATGATTCTCAATGGTGAAAAACTGAAAGCATTTCCTGTAAGATCAGGAACAAGACAAGGATGTCCACTCTCGTCACTATTATTCAACATAGTTTTGGAAGTCCTAGCCACGGCACTCAGAGAAGAAAAGGAAATAAAAGGAATACAAATTGGAAAAGAAGAAGTAAAACTGTCACTGTTTCCAGATGACATGATACCATACATAGAGAATCCTGAAGATGCCACCAGAAAACTTCTAGAGCTAATCTATGAATTTGGTAAAGTTGCAGGATACAAAATTAATGCTCAGAAATCTCTTGCATTCCTATACACTAATGATGAAAAATCTGAAAGAGAAATTAAGGAAACACTCCCATTTACCACTGCAACAAAAAGAATAAAATACCTAGGAATAAACCTACCTAGAGAGACAAAAGACCTGTATGCAGAAAACTATAAGACACTGATGAGGGCTTCCCTGGTGGCGCGGTGGTTAAGAATCCGCTTGCCAATGCAGGGAACATGGGTTCGAGCCCTGCTCTGGGAAGATCCCACATGCCGTGGAGCAACTAAGCCCATGCGCCACAACTACTGAGCCTGCGAGCCACAACTACTGAGCCCAAGTGCCACAACTACTGAAGCCCACACACCTCAACTACTGAAGCCCACGTGCCTAGAGCCCATGCTCCACAACAAGAAAGCCACCGCAATGAGAAGCCCGCGCACTGCAACGAAGAGTGGCCCCTGCTCACCGCAACTAGAGAAAGCCTGCGTGCAGCAACAAAAGACCCAAGTCAGCCAAAAATAAAAATAAATAAATAAATAAAATTAAAAAAAAAAAAAAGACACTGATGAAAGAAATGAAAGATGATACCAACAGATGGAGAGATATACCATGTTCTTGGATTGGAAGAATCAATATTGTGAAAATGACTGTACTATCCAAAGCAATCTACAGATTCAATGCAATTCCTATCAAATTACCAATGGCATTTTATACACAACTAGCACAAAAAAGCTTAAAATTTGTAGGAGACACAAAAGACCCCAAATAGCCAAAGCAGTCTTGAGGGAAAAAAAACAGAGCTGGAGGAATCAGACTCCCTGACTTCAGAGTATAACTACAAAGCTACAGTAGTCAAAACAATATGGTACTGGCAAAAAAACAGAAATATAAATCAATGGAACAGGATAGAAAGCCTAGAGATAAACCCATGCACCTATGGTCAACTAATCTATGACAAAGGAGGCAAGGATATACAATGGAGAAATGACAGTCTCTTCAATAAGTGGTGCTGGGAAAACTGGACAGCTAGCTACATGTAAAAGAATGTAATTAGAACACTCCCTAACACCATACACAAAAATAAACTCAAAATGGATTAGAGACCTAAATGTAAGACCAGACACTATAAAACTGTTAGAGGAAAACATAGAAAAACTCTCTTTGACGGAAATCACAGCAAGATCTTTTTTGATCCACCTCCTAGAGTAACGGAAATAAAAACAAAAATAAACAAATGGGACCTAATGAAACTTAAAAGCTTTTGCAAAGCAAAGGAAACTACAAACAAGAAGAAATGACAACCCTCAGAATGGGAGAAAATATTTGCAAATGAATCAACAGACAAAGGATTAATCTCCAAAATATAAAATCAGCTCATGCAGCTCAATATTAAAAAAACAAACAACCCAATCCAAAAATGGGCAGAAGACCTAAATAGACATTTATCCAAAGACATACAGATGGCCAAGAAGCACATGAAAAGCTGCTCAACATCACTAATTATTAGAGAAATGCAAATCAAAACTACAATGAGGTATCACCTCACACCAGTTAGAATGGGCATCATCAGAAAATCTACAAACAACAAATGCTGGAGAGGGTGTGGAGAAAAGGGAACTCTCTTGTAGTACTGGTGGGAATGTAAACTGATACAGCCAACTAAGGAGAACAGTACGGAGGTCCCTTAAAAAACTAAAAATAGAATTACCATATGACCCAGCAATCCCACTACTGGGCATATACCCAGAGAAAACCATAATTCAAAATGACACATGGAAAAAAAAAAAAAAAGACACATGCACCCAAATGTTCATTGCAGCACTATTTACAACAGCCACTACATGGAAGCAACCTAAACGCCCAACAACAGACAAATGGATAAAGAAGCCTGCACACCGCAACGAAGAGTAGCCCCCACTCGCCGCAGCTAGAGAAAGCCTGCGTGCAGCAACAAAGACTCAATGCAGCCAAAAATAAATATATAAAAATAAATTTATAGGGCTTCCCTGGTGGCGCAGTGGTTGAGAGTCCGCCTGACGATGCAGGGGACACGGGTTAGTGCCCCGGTCCGGGAAGATCCCACATGCCGCAGAGCAGCTGGGCCTGTGAGCCATGGCCGCTGAGCCTGCGCATCCGGAGCCTGTGCTCCTCAACGGGAGAGGCCACAACAGTGAGAGGCCCGCGTACCGCAAATAAATAAATAAATAAATAAATTTATAAAAATGGTCCACATCAAAAAAAAAAAAATCTTTAGGGACTTCCCTGGTGGTCCAGTGGCTAAGACTCCGCACTCCCAATGCAGGCGGCCTGAGTTCGACCCCTGGTCAGGGAACTAGATCCCACATGCCGCAACTAAGAGTTCACATGTTGCAACTAAAGATCCCACGTGCCGCCACAAAGACCCAGAGCAGACAAAATAAATAAATAAATAAAAATTTTAAAATCTTTTAAAATAAAACATGTAAGTGTTACAAATGTAATAAGTAATACCATTTTCAAGCAGGAAACAAAAAAGAATGACTCTAAAATCTTAACTGAAATAAATATTTCTTTGGAAGACATCTTGAGAGAGTATAATTAGAGCAGAGAGGAAAATCTGGGCATTCGTATAAAGAGTTTCCTCTCACCCTAGTCAGTGTGAATGCACAATCTAATACTGAATTTAAATAAAGAAGAAGAAGAAGAAAAAAAGAAAGGAAACCTGAATGGCAGACCCTCAGGATGTCCAGGATTCGATCATAAGCTCACAGACTTCGCACAATTACTGAAACTACTGTAGCCTTTACTCAAGCTGGTTCCTCTGCCTAACATGCTCTTTCAATTCCTTTCTCCCCTATAAAAAAGAATGAGATAATGCCATTTGCAGCAACATGGATGGACCTAGAGATTATTATACTAGTGAAGTCAGGCAGAGAAAGACAATCATATGATGTCCTGTATATGTGGAATCTTAAAAAAAAAAAAAAAAAAGGATATAAATGAACTTATTTACAAAACAGACTCAGACACAGAAAACAAACTTATGGTTACTAAAGGGGAAAGGGAGGTGGGGATAAATTAGGAGTTTGGAATTAAAATACATACACTACTACATATAAAATAGATAACCAACAAGCACAGGGAACTATCTTGTAATAATCTATAATGGAAAAGAATACATGTATAACTGAATCACTTTGCTGTGCATCTGAAGCACATTATAAATCAACTATATTTCGATAAAAATTTAAAAAATAAAAAGATATTAGCACATGCCAAGAAAAAAAATTCCTCTCTCCTACTCTCATCACCACACTCCCAGCCCCTTTTATGTCCCAGTTAACTTTGGATTCCCAGTCTCCACATCACTTTCTTAAGGAAGACTCCCTGAGCACCAAACTAGATCAAGTCTCCCCAGGATGCATGCTACGAGTTCCCTACACTTTTCCTCTTCCTCTCCCCCGCCCCTGTGGTGCGGCTTGAGGGAGCTTAGCTTCCCAACCAGGGATCGAACCAGGGCCCCTGGGAGTGAAAACTCGGAGTCCTAACCACTGGAGCACCAGGGAATTCCCTACTTCTCTTCTTCCTAATCCTCAGTTTAACTGCTGTTACATAAGTATTGTGGAATATCTTATTAATTGTTTGTCTTCCCCACAGGACTCGGAAGATCCATGAGGGTCACTTTATTCCCAGTGCTTAAAATACTGTCTGGCACACTGTTAATGCTCAACATTTGTTGAATAATGAACGAATAAATGAAAGATTTAAAAAATAATGAGATACTGTAAAAGTTTTTATCTTCCACTTCAGTCCTTGCAACATAAAGCAACTTTAAGTCGTAATTATATGTAGGTGGGAAAACAGAGCATGCAATGCAAAGGGAAAGTCTGAATGCACAAAGGTGCAAAGCATCTGCTGAAGTGTCACACATATTTAAAAATCATAGCCAGTGTGCACTTTCTCCTCCAGTTGCCAGTAGTCTACTAGGAATATTCCAGAAATTTAACTAATCTCCTTCAGTGGTGTATGGTTTGACTCCCACAAAGAAATAGGAATAACAAAATACAAAGAGCAGTTGAGAAAAGAAAAGCCATAGCATCTGCTAAGAGGCTCCTGATACAAATATGAAGGGAACAGAAAACAAGTCTCACACTTTATGCACATTTCTTAGATTCTCAAAGCTAAACCTGCTGGATTTATGGAAATTGTGTATCCAAAGTTTCTGGTGAACAAACAGGCTCAAACACCAATTTGAATGATGAAGGAAGAGCCCAAAGGTCTTAGGTCTACTGAGTCAAGTAAGTATGTTGAGCTAATACGTAACATTCATAACTTGAAAACCCATTGTTTGTGGGCCAGTATTTGAATTTTTAAAGAAAAATCTTGACATTTTAAAAATTGGGACCAAGTTGAATCTCAGGTTTACAGGAAAAAAACATTTCTGAGAACCTTCAACCATGTGCCAAGCCTTTTTACATATAATATAAATGGAATTACAATAAATGCTAATAGGTGGGTATTACCTCCATTTACTACTGAGAAACCCAAAACCAAATTTCCAATGTGACACCATTAATTGTCAAGCTCAATTCTGACTAATCCCCAAAGTTTGGGTACCCATCATCTTGCTCTATGCAAAAAGTTGGGCCTGGGCTCTGGACTAAGTTCTGGAGTTAAAGAATCCTGAGCTCATCACCAGAGGATTTTTTGCAAAATAAACATTTAAAAAAAATTTTAAGTTGTTATAAGCTCTTCCAAGACAATCCTTTTAGATTTATACTGTACTAATCAGGAAAAGTAATGATAAAACCTATTTTAAACATTTCAGGTAAATGCAGACAGTGTTCTGGATTTGCAATGATAAAAACTGAAAGAATAGTTTTTAACAGTTCAATTTCAAAACACTGAGTTTGAAGACAGTGAAATGAAGAAAAAGTAGAATTTTCTAATTTGAATGTTCACATCGCAAGTAAGCTTTACTGTAAAATGCAGACAGGATATATCACTTGCCATTCTGGAGATTAATTTTTTAAAACTTTACCCTGCCTATTATTTTAAATGACATACAAAATATCCTTTTCCACGTGGTTTAAATGATATACTACATATTACTGTCAAAGCTTTAAGATTATTTGCCCTTGCAAGAATTACCCCGAATGAGACTTTTTAAATGCTATTACTTTCTATAACATACATGCATTCAAATTATCTTTCTACTCACCACAGAAAACTAATCTTAATCTTTTGTGACCATATAGTTGATGACACAGCCCAAAAACAAAATCAATAAAATAATAAATATGTACAAGCTATACACTGATAAGTTAAAAACCAAATAACCATTTTGGCTATTGGTGCCTTGAATGTATAATAATTTCCTACAACTGACTCAGTCTCTGGAAAGTCCCTACTTATTTTAATTTATATCTCTAAAGTATAAATCTAGCTTTCCTCTCTGCAGGAGGATCAAGATGAGAAATGACCTAGATATTTCTCTAACAATACTAATTCTTTCCTCCTAAAAATATCTGCTGCTTACCTACTTATGAGAAACTGTAGTAGGACTCAAGGATACAAAATAAAGACAACACAATCCCAAGCTTGAAGTTGTAAGTTTACTCGGGGATACAGGACAGAACAATAATCAAAACATATTATGAAAAATGCTGTAACAGTATTATGGGAACACAGAACTTTTTATCCACGTTTCTGAAAACCAAGGAAAAGTATTAAGAGAGTAAGAAGAAATACTAACCAAATGACAATATGAATATCAGACTACCTATAAACATCCTTCCGATTAACCAGAAAAGTTGTATTTGTAGTTAATTTAACTAATGAATTACTGTTTTCATTCATTAAAACTTAAAATATGAGATGTGCTTATGAACAAAATAATATTTTGACATACACACCAGAACTTGTAAACAAGTATTGTCCTTACAAGACCATTTAATAACTCTTAGGATAATATACACAGTAGAGCGATAAACTTTTTCTGTTAAGGGCCAAACAGTAAATATTTCATAGTCTTTTTCCCAACTATTCCAACAGACCTTCATACATGGTCACTGAGATTTGAATTTCATATTAGTTTAACATGTTATAAAATATCTTCCTTTTGATTTTGTCTCATCCATTCAAAAACATAAAAACTGTTCTTGGCTCAAGGGCTGTTACAAACACAGGTGGTGGCCAGATTTATCTGCAGTTTGTCAAAAACTACCATTAACAAGTCAATTCTACATATTACATGATAAAAACCTTTCATGTTAATTCCAAACCACATGTAGAACCTAAACTGCGATCTATTAGTTTAACTTCTTCACCAGATTCAATCCTTACTTGATTTTCCCTAATAAAAACAAGGTCTGAAGACTATTACAAAAAATAAACTCCAAAAATAATTTGAGGAAAGGTTCTAACAGTCAAACGTGTCTCGAGTGACAACAGAAGAAATAAGGGAGTAGGGAACCTCAAGGGCCAGTACCTCCACAAAAATAGCAGATGAACAAGGGAAAAACTATCACAAAGAACTACACAAAAAACTATGAGAACTGGGGAAACTACTAAAAAGGTCTGGAACAACCAAGCAAATGCTTAATCAAGAAAAGGGCAAAGAGGAGCTTCCTCGGTGGCGCAGTCGTTAAGAATCCGCCTGCCAACGCAGGGGACACGGGTTCGAGCCCTGGTCCGGGAAGATCCCACATGCCACAGAGCTACTAAGCCTGTGCGCCACAACTACTGAGGTGCTCTAGAGCCTGTGAGCCACAACTACTGAGCCTATGTGCCACAACTACTGAGCCTGCATGCCGTAACTACTTAAGCCCACACGCCTAGAGCCCGCGCTCTGCAACGAGAAGCCACCACAATGAGAAGCCCATGCACTACAACAAAGAGTAGCCCCTGCTCACCACAAATAGAGAAAGCCCGCATGCAGCAACAAAGACCCAACGCAGCCAAAAATAAATAAATAAATAAATTTATTTTTAAAAAAGAAAGAAAGAAAAGGGCAAGGATAGCTAGCTAGTGGGAAGCAGCCACATAGCACAGGGAGATCATAGCAGTGCTTTGTGACCACCTAGAGGGGTGGGATAGGGAGGATGGGAGGGAGACGCAAGAGGGAGGAGATATGGGGATATATGTATGTGTATAGTGGATTCACTTTGTTATAAAGCAGAAACTAACACACCATTGTAAAGCAATTATACCCCAATAAAGATGTTAAAAAAAAAAGAAAAGGGCAAGGCTGCTGGCTTTGTAAACTCGGACTGTGGGACATGAGTAGACAACGGGTGCCCCTGAGGCTGGGACAGGTCTGGCCTTAGCAGCTGTGGGCTGTGCGGGAGTATGCACGCGGAGGCTGGGCCGGGGTCCAGGCTGCTTCCATAGCTCACATGGCGTGACTACTCCAGTCCTGGTACCTGACTTCACTGGATCTGAGCTGGTGGATCTGTGCTGGTGGCTTTGTAAACACAGCACCTGAGGGTCACCAGGGTCTATTGCCAGCATTCCTAAGGTTGAGCAGGGAACAAGGACAGTGCCAACAACAGTGTACTTTGTGAGCCCACACAATGGGTTTCAGGTGACACCACAGAGCGCGCTCCCTGGTGGACAGCTCCAGTGGAGGAATACTCAGTAGCTCCTCTCCCAGTGGAAGCGTTCCAATCCTGCCGACCTCACACAGCAGCTTAGAAACGGATCTGGGACCTTCTACTCCAAAAACTAAGGAGCGGATTCTGCCCCTAACAGGGCTGTGACAACCACAGAGCAAAGAGGAGGCCCCGCTCAACTTCCAGTGTGGGCTCTGGTCACCACAACACCAGTTACACCCCCTATCAAGGGGATATCGGCCAGCACACATTGAGGAAAGAGGTGGCAGGCATCCATACTAAAAACAGCCCTCACACCAAAAAATACTAAACCTATGCAGGCTACACAGGGACACTCCCACATAAAAATACCCCTCTAAGACCACAGCAGACAACTGTTTTCCTAAACTCATAGAGTAAGAGAAATATAAGTAAAATGGAGAAGCAAAAGAACCACTACCAATTAAAAGATCAAGAGCATTCTCCTGAAAGAAGGAACAATGAAACAGATCTCTTCAGTCTAATAGACACTGAGTTCAAAAAAGAGGTAATGAGGGCTTCCCTGGTGGCACAGTGGTTTGAGAGTCCGCTTGCCAATGCAGGGAACACGGGTTCGTGCCCCGGTCCGGGAAGATCCCACATGCCACAGAGCGGCTGGGCCCGTGAGCCATGGCCGCTGAGCCTGTGCGTCCGGAGCCTGTGCTCCACAACGGGAGAGGCCACAACAGTGAGAGGCCTGCGTACCGCAGAAAAAAAAAAAAAAAAGAAAGGCTATCAATAGAAATGTAGATTACCGTAAAAAAAGAAAGGCTATCAATAGAAATGTAGATTACTGTAAAAAGGAACTAGAAACTATAAAGAGGAGCCAAGAAAAATTAGAAAACTCACTTGCTGGATAAAACCTGAGCTAAAGACAATAAACTGCAGACTGAATAATGCAGAAGACGGAATAATGGAAATCACCCAATCAGAACAGCAGACAGAAAGCCAGATAAAAAAACTGAAAGCAATATAAGAAACCTATGATAATATAAAGCGTGCTAATCTAAACATAACAGAGATTCCAGAAAGAGAAGAGAAAAGGGGAACAAAAGTATATCTGAAGACATTATGGCTGAACACTTCCCAAACCTCAAGAAGTAAACAGATATCCAGGTACAAGAAACACAGAGGGTCCCAAACAAGATGAACCCAAACAAATCTATACCAAGACATATTATAATTAAAATGACAGGGACTTCCCTGATCGCACAGTGGTTATGAATCCGCCTGCCAGGGTTTCCCTGGTGGCGCAGTGGTTAAGAATCCACCTGCCAATGCAGGGGACATGGGTTCAAGCCCTGGTCCGGGAAGATCCCACATGCCATGGAGCAACTAAGGCCGTGCACCCCAACTACTGAGCCTGCGCTCTAGAGCCTGCAAGCCACAACTACTGAGTCCACGTGCCACAACTACTGAAACCCGCATGCCTAGAGCCCGTGCTCAACAACAAGAGAAGCCACCGCTCGCCACAACTAGAGAAAGACTGCACGCAGCAACGAAGACCCAACACAGCCAACAATAAACAAATAAATAAATATTTATTTTAAAAAAAAGATTCTGCACGCAACAATAAAGATCTCACGTGCCACAACTAAGACTTGATGTAGCGAAATAAATAAATAAATCTTAAAAAAAAAAGGACATATAAATCGACAGAACAGAACTAAGAGCCCAGAGATAAATCTATATCTGTTCTCAGCAAGGGTGCCAAGACCATTCAATAGGGAAAGAATAGTCTTTTCAACAAATGGTGCTGGAACAACTGGGTACCCACATGCAAAAGATGTTTGGCCCCTACCTCACATCATGTACAAAAATTCAAAATGCATCAAAGACCTAAGTGTAAGACGTAAGAACATAACTTTTAGCAGAAAACACAGGAGTAAATCTTCTTCATCTTGAATTAGGCAATGGTTTCTTAGATATGACACCACAAGGCAAAGAAAAAAAATAGATATATTGGACTTCATCAAGATTAAAAACCTTTGGAATGTCCCTGGTGGTCCAGTGGACTCTGTGCTTTCACTGCTGATGGCCAGGGTTCGATCCCTGAACAGGGTACTAGGATCCCACAAGCTGCACGGCATGGCCAAATACAAAAACATTTAAAAAACAAGAAAACAAAAAAAATTTTGTGCTTCAAGGATACCATCAAGAAAATGAAAAAACCCACAGAATGGAAGAAAATATTTGCAAATCATATCTGATAAGGGACTTAATCCAGAATATATAAGGAACTACAACTCAACAATAAAAATAGCCCAATTTTTTAAAAATATGCAAAGGATTTACAACACAGACTCCAAAGTAGCTATACAAATGTCCAAAAAGCACATAAATGGATGCTCAACATCATCAGGGAAATATAAATCAAAACCACAATGAGATAACATGTAACACTCACCAGGATGGCTTAAAAAAAAAAAAAAAAGCAAATGTTGGCAAGAATATGAAGAAATCACAACTGTAAAATGGTACAGCCACTGTGCAAAAACAGTCTGGCCATTCCTCAAAATGTTAAAACAGTCCCGTGGGGTTGGGACTCCACACTTTCACTGCTGAGGGCACAGACTCAATCCCTGGGTGGGAAACGAAGATCCCACAAGCTGCATGATGCGCCCCCCAAAAAAAGAAGAATCCCCACTGAATCCAGAAGAGGTATTTGTACACCTATGTTCATATCAGCATTATTCACAATAGCCAAAAGGTGGCCATCGACTGATAAATGGATAAAGAAAATGTGGTATACAGCAGAAAATCTTTAAAAAGGAAGAAAATTCTGACACGGACTACAACATGGGTGAACTCTTAAGGACATTACATTAAGTAAAATAAGACAATCACAAAAAAGATAAATACTGTATAATTCTACATGAGGTATTCAGAGCAGTCAAATTCAGATACAGAAAGCAGAATGGTGGTTACCAGGGGCTGGGAGGAAGGGGAAAGTGGCAAGTTGTTCAATTGGTAAGTTTTCTAAGATGGAAAGAGTTCTGGAGAATGGCTGCACGAAATGTGAACACACTTAATGTTATTTAACTGTACACATCAAAATAGTTAGGATGGAGAGTTCCCTGGTGGCCTAGTGGTCAGGATGCCGGACTTTCACTGCCACGGCCCTGGGTTCAATCCCTGGTCGGGGATCTGAGATCCCGCAAGCCACATCGCACGGCCAAAAAAAAAAAAAACAGAATGGTAAATTTTATGCTATGTATATTTTATCAAAATTAAATATAGAGGCTTCCCTGGTGGCGCAGTGGTTGAGAGTCCGCCTGCCGATACAGGGGACATGGGTTCGTGCCCCAGTCCGGGAAGATCCCACATGCTGCGGAGCGGCTGGGCCCGTGAGCCATGGCCGCTGAGCCTGCGCATCCAGAGCCTGCGCTCCGCAACGGGAGAGGCCACAACAGTGAGAGGCCCGCGTACCGCAAAAAAAAAAAAAAAAAAAATTAAAACTAGGACTTCCCTGGTGGCGCAGTGGTTAAGAATCTGCCTGCCAATGCAGGGGATGGAAGATTCTACATGCCGCGGAGCAACTAAGCCTGTGCACCACAACTACTGAGCCCGCGTGCCACAACTACTGAAGTCCAGGCACCTAGAGCACATGCTCCGCAACAAAAGAAGCCACCGTAATGAGAAGCCCGCACACTGCATGAAGAGCTGCCACTGATCACCACAACTAGAGAAAGCCCATGCACAATAACAAAGACCCAACGCAGCCAAAAAATAATAATTAATTAATTAATTAATTTTTAAAAAAGTTAATGGGGGGACTTCCCTGGTGGCACAGTGATTAAGAATCCACCTGCCAATGCAGGGGACACAGGTTCGAGCCCTGGTCCAGGAAGATCCCACATGCCGCGGAGCAACTAGGCCCATGAGCCACAACTACTGAGCCTGAGCTCTAGAGCCCGTGAGCCACAACTACTGAAGCCCACACGCCTAGAGCCTGTGCTCCACAACAGGAGAAGCCACTGCAATGAGAAGCCACTTCAATGAGAAGCCTGTGCACCGCAACAAAGAGTAGCCCCCACTCACTGCAACTAGAGAAAGCCCGCACACAACAACGAAGACCCAATGCAGCCAAAAAATAAATAAATAAGTTTATTAAAAAAATAAAATAAAAATAAAAAGTTAATGGGGCGGGCTTCCCTGGTGGCACAGTGGTTGAGAGTCCGCCTGCCAATGCAGGGGACACGGGTTCATGCCCCGGTCCGGGAAGATCCCACATGCCGCGAAGCGGCTAGTCCCGTGAGCCATGGCCGCTGAGCCTGCGCATCCGGAGCCTGTGCTCCACAACGGGAGAGGCCACAACAGTGAGAGGCCCGCGAACCGCAAAAAAAAAAAAGTTAATGGGGCTTCTCTGGTGGTCCAGTGGGTAAGATTCCATGCTCCCAATGCAAGGGACCCAGGTTCAATCCCTGGTCAGGGAACTAGATCCCACATGCATTCCACGACTAAGAGTTCGAATGCCGCAAGTAAGAGTCCTCATGCCACAACTAAAGTTCCTGCATGCCACAACGAAGATCATGTATGCCGCAACTAAGACCCAGAGCAGCCAAAAATAAATAAATAAATAAATATGTTTTTTAAAGTGTCACTACTTTGTATACTTAAGCTTTCTCCTTTAATTAAAACTACTTATTTCTTATTGGGTGGGCATGGTAACCAGTTGCCCTAGATGGCCCCCAGTGATCCACACTTCAGGGTATTCCCCTACCACATTGTATCTCCTTGGATCTCCTTGCTAGGTCTCTCCTCTCTTGGACAACTCACTCTGGGGGAAGCCAGCTACATACTGTGAGCAGCCCTATGGAGAGGCACACATAGCAAGGAACTGAGGCCTCCTTCAGCCAACAGCCATATGAGTGAGCCATACTGGACAAGGATCCTACAGCCTTCAGATGACTGCAGCAGTGATGGACATCTTGCTTGTAATCTCGTAAGAGACTGAGCCAGAACCATCCAGCTAAACCACTCCCTGATTCCTAACCCTGTGTGAGAGAAATGTTTATTGTTTTAGACTGCTCAGTTTGAGGGTAATTTGTTAGGCAGAATAGATAACTAATACAGGATTTCCCTGGTGGTCCAGTGGTTAAGACTCTGCACTCCCAATGCAGGGGAGCTGGGTTCGATCCCTGGTCAGGGAACTAGATCTCACATGCTGCAACTAAGAGCCTGCATGCCACAACTAGAAAAATCCTGCGTGCCGCAACTAAGACCCAGCTCCGCCAAATAAATAAATATTTTTTTTTAAAAGATAACTAATACAAAGGGAAACATTCCTTGCACAGCTATATGAATTTGTTTTCAAAAAGAAAATTAAAGACTATAAAAATTATCATCAGCACAGTGCTGGATATTAAAATAAAATCCCTATTAGATCAATTTAAGGCTGTAGCAGACAGAATTTCTTCAAATTTTTACAAGTGTGTAAAGTTGGTTTATCAAACATATAGAAGCTTCGAATCGATAAAAGAAACTACTCCAAACAGATCTGGATACATGAAAAATGAAACTTCGAGTCTACAACTATAGAAAATTAACTAAAATGAAAAACAGACTGAGAAGAAATATTTATGTCTGTAAGATAAAAGGATAATGGCTATAAAACACTACAATCCAGACAGATAAGTCAGCAAAGGATATGGACAGCAAAGGCCACAGGAGAAACACAAACAAGAAACAAAGAAATAATTTTCAACAATAAAGTTGTATTAATAAAATCAAACTTGCGGTAGAAGTATACACCTACTTAATGAAGTAAAAAACTTAAAACATCAATGCTATCAAAGTTGGCATGCTATCAAAGGGAGGAAAATGCTGTACTCGTATATACACTATTTAGAACTGTGTGAAATGGTACACTCCTTTTGGAAAGCCATAAAGAAGTAGGTACATCTGAGACAAAACATTTAACCCATTGCCCTGATAATTCCCCTACCAGCAGTTTATCCTTAGGAAATAATTCCACAGACATTACTATGAAATTAATAAGGTACCTACCAAGACTTTACTTAAAACTCTAATATCTGCTCCACCAAAGAACTAATTTCAGTGGTTTAATTACCTGCACTATAACACTTCTGCCTCAAAGCTCTACTATGTTTAAAAAAAAAAAGGAAGCACTTCAAATGTAGAACTGTATTACCTCTCAACAACTGCTCTGCAATTCTTTACAGATCATGGCATGGTGGAAGTGTTTTTTCTTCATATGCTGATTAGATTCAATACATTGTCCATTGAACCAACTGAAATGTTAAAAAAAAATGCCTTTGGATATAATAATCCAATAACAATTAGCATGGCATTGATGTCTATTATTTTTACTGGGTATAGATAAAACTTGAACATTGCCGACTTTCACCAGGGATCCCCAACAGCTCCAATTACCGCATCAAGAGAAATTAGAGATGCCAAGAGGAATATACCCTCAGTAATTTACAAAGAAAGACTACCTTCAGATTCTGCCTGGTATATGGGGAGACATCATATAACCAGTAATTATTTTTAATTTAATCTAATGTGTAAATATAATTGTTCATCCTCCAAAATGGATTTTATCCTTCCAACAATCTTTAACACAGTACTATGGTATTGATATTTTATGTAAGGTCACTGGACATGTAAAAAGAACTTTAGAGGCCTTAATAAAGTAATTTCACCTAAGAACAGTAACGAACACTAAAATCTGTTCCAATTTATTAAGGGGAACCCACAAGTCTGTATGATTTTATTGTTTCTTTAATAAGTTATCTAAAAGTAGAAACAATACTTAAAAATTATGACTTGTGTACAGGTATTATAAAGAATGTAGATCATCTAGAATCCATAAAGAACTCTCAAAACTCAACAATTAAAATCAAACAATCCAATTAGAAAATGGGCAAAAGACATGAATATATTTCACCAAAGAGGATATACAGATGGGAAATAAACACACAAAAAGATGTTCAGGGTTTCCCTGGTGGCGCAGTGGTTGAGAGTCCGCCTGCCAATGCAGGGGACACGGGGGTCCGTGCCCTGGTCCGGGAAGATCCCACATGCCACGGAGCGGCTGGGCCTGTGAGCCATGTCCGCTGAGCCTGCGCTTCCGGAGCCTGTGCTCCGCAATGGGAGAGGCCACAACAGCGAGAGGCCCGTGTACAGCAAAAACAAAAACAAACAAACAAACAAAAGATGTTCAACATCATTAGCTATCAGGGAAATGCAAATAAAAACCATAATGAGGGCTTCCCTGGTGGCACAGTGGTTAAGAATCTGCCTGCCAATGCAGGGGACATGGGTTCGAGCCCTGGTCCGGGAAGATCCCACATGCCGCAGAGCAGTTAAGCCTGTGCACCACAACTACTGAGCCTGCGCTCTAGAGCCCGCAAGCCACAACTACTGAAGCCCGCATGCCTAGAGCCTGTGTTCCGCAGTAAGAGTAGCCCCCGCTCACTACAACTAAAGAAAGCCTGTGTGCAGCAACGAAGACCCAACACAGCCAAAAAAGAAAGTAAAATAAATAAATTAAAAACAAAAACCATAATGAGATATCATTACATAACTATCAAAATGGTTAAAACAGGGCTTCTCTGGTGGCGCAGTGGTTGAGAGTCCGCCTGCCGATGCAGGGGACACGGACTCGTGCCCCGGTCCGGGAAGATCCCACATGCCGCGGAGCGGCTGGGCCCGTGAGCCATGGCCGCTGGGCCTGCGTGTCCAGAGCCTGTGCTCTGCAATGGGAGAGGCCATAGCAGTGAGAGGCCCACGTACCGCAAAGAAAAAAAAAAAAAAAAGGTTAAAACAAATAGTGAAAACACTAAATGATGGTGAGGAGGAAGAGAAACTGGATCACTCATACACTACTGGTGAGAATGTAAATAGTACAGTTACTCTGGAAATCAGCTTGGCAGTTTCTTATAAAAGTAAACATGCAGTACCATATGATTCAGCAATGGTACTCTTGGGCATTTATCCCAGAGAAATGAAAATTTATGTTCACACAAAACCTGTATATGAATGTTCACAGCACTTTTACTTCTAATAGCCAAAAGCTAGAATAAACCCAGATGTCCTTCAACAGGTGAATGGTTAAACAAACTGTGGTAGATACGTATCACGGAATACTACTTAGTAATAAAAAGGTATAAAATATTGATATACTCAATAACTTGGATGACTCTCCAGGGAATTTTAAATGAAAAAAACCCAATCCCAAAAGGCTATATATATACTGCATGATTCCACTTACGGACATTTTTGAAATGACAAAATTTTAGAAACAAAGGACAGGTTAGTAGTTGGCAAAAGTTGGAGGAGGAACTGCCAGGAAGAAGATGGGTGTGATATAAAAGGACCACAGAAGATATCCTTGTGGCATTAAGTGTTCAACATCTTGAGTGTGGTAGTGCACATACAAACCCACGCAGGCAATAAAAATGCAGAGAACTTAACATAGTACATACACACAAACAAGTACAAGTAAAACCAGGGACATCTGGAATATGTCCTTATAGAACTATAGAATTTTCTTTAAAAAAAAATATGAAAAACATAAACTGGGACACCTGAATAAGATTGGTAGATTATACCAATGTCAATATCCTGGTTGTGATATTAGGTGTTTTTGCAAAACATTATCATTGCAAAATCAAGCAAAACATACATGGGATCTCTCTGTATTATTTCTAACAACTAACAACAGCATGTGAACTTAGTGATTTCAATAAAAATTTCAATAATAAAAAAATGGAGATCTACCTACATGCTCATATGAATGGATATCCTCAACGCATTAGGTATTCAAAAATATGTTTATCAGGCCATTCGTGTTACCAAAAGATAAAAAAGGTACATAAACACAAAGAAAATTCTAATAAAATATAAAGAATGAACATGAGTGACAACTGGGAATTCCCCGGTGGTCCAGTGGTTAGGACTCTGTGCTTTCACTGCAGAGGGCTGGGGTTCAATCCCTGGTCAGGGAACTGGGATCCCACAAACTGCACAGTGTGGGCCCCCCCGCCCAAAAAAAAAAGAGGGAGCATATGAAGGGTGACAGAAATAAAGTTCCTTTTTGTTTTAATGTTCCATTTTTCACTTTTACCATGAATTTATATTACTTTTCTAACTAAAACTATTCATAGCAATTTCTTCAAAAGGCTACATTTTGAGATCATTAAAAAAGTTTTAGAAATGATCATTCAGTGAAAATCAAACCCACCACCAGAAAAGAGGTGGTCTCTCCTGAAAACCAGGGGGTGGAAATGAAACATTTATATCCATGACAAAAGAAAACCGGCAAAAAGCAACAAGTAATAAAGTTAAACTACTTAATAGCTGGAGTGCAGAGAGATACTGATCCTATGGCCCAAATCAAATTCTCCTGATTACCAAACAAAAAAATGGATCAAATTCTCCTGATTATTAAACAAAAACAGAAAAAATACTTAATGCCTTTATCTTACCGATTAAGGAAGAACAGTTTACAAGAATAGAGAAAAAAGCAAAAGTGCAAAG